TTCAGTTCAGGGAACAACACTGGAGGTGTTCACACACACAGATGAAACACAACACTGAATTCTCATGTCCCTGAGCTACTAGGCAGAGTGGACAAGTCTATTTCCACATATTCATACTGTGGGTGTGATATTATTGTTATTATTTATGGTCCTTGTTAAGGCATGCATCACTATTACTAATGCTCCAAGGATTATGGATTTGACCAAATTCTTAATTTCCATAATATGCATAATATGTTACAGACATGAATGACTTGGAATAAAAACTAAAACAGTACTTGTATAACACTTCGATAAAAGGTGGCAAAACAGCACAAATTATTTTCACACTTTTTAAATTGTTTAATAACAAATTCTATATAATAAATAGTACTGTCAAATGATTCATCACGATTAATTGCATACAAAATCAAAGTTTTTGTTTGCATAATACATGTGTGTGTTCTGTGTATATTTATTATGTATATTTAAATACACACACATACAGTATATATTTTGAAAATATTTACAAGTATTTACATGTCTATTTATATTCACATAATTTACATTATAAATAAAGTAATTTAATATATAAACATAACATATTTTTCTGAAATATATACATGCATGTGTGTGTATTTATATATACATAATAAATATACACAGTACACACACATATATTATGTAAACAAAAACTTTTATTTTGGATGCGATTAATCGTTTGACAGCACTAATAATAAATAAATCTATTTAAAATCTAAAAGTTCATATAGTTCATATTAAAAATCTAGTATCAAATCTATTTTATAAATTCATAAATATTGAGAGTTTCCAGTTTACATATGCACTTAACTTTTGCATGTGTAACATTTTTTTAATGTTTTTGAAAGAAGTCTCTTATGTTCACCAAGGCTTTTCAACATTTATTTGACTAAAAATACAGTAAAAAAAAATTAATATTGTGAAATGATTACAATTTAACTTCTAATTGCAATTTTAAAATAACAGTTCTCTGTTTTAATATATTTTCAAATGTATTACATTTAGGAAAATCTAAATTTTCAGTGGCCAAAAAAAATCTTACTGACTCCAAACTTTGGTTTTAGAAAACTATCCCTGCAGAGCCCAACTGTTGAATTTGACACATCCGTCAAGAATATGGGCAGAAATACCCTCCGCTCTGCTGGAAACGCCAACACAGCTGTCTTTCCTCTGAATAGAATGAACTAACAGGGTTATAAGTATGCTGCAGCTTTTCCTCGCCATTTTAGACCAAATCAGTGGTCAATATTCCCAAAGGAAATAACAATACTTAACTGTGAATACAGTAAAGATCAGGCATGCTGTGTACTGGTTTATAACGGCCAGTTGGATGTCTGTGGGTGGATAAATAAAATCTGTGTGTGCCATGAGCGTGGGAGGAAAGGACCGTACGATGCCAGCAGCGGTTTTTATAAGGGGGAAAATGAAGATCGGTGAGACCCTCTAAATGGTGTGCTTGAACGGGCCAGTCGGAGTTGCCATGACTCCTGTCTCTTGGGTTGCTATGACGGCAGCGTCTTCACATCAAGCCCAGATCCACCTAATCATAGGTTTAATAGATGTGTCCTCACAGACACGAAGCTCTTCCATTACCAAACACTCCTCCAACTAAACAATCATGCTCAGAGTTGATTTACATCAGTGTAGTCTTGACACCTTGTCCTTTCTACTGTAATTATATTAAAGTCTCCCTGCAGTCACTAATTGTATCCCTTAAAATGCATCTTTGACAATCAAAATGACATATTTAACTGTTTTTCCAGTGAAAATGACTTCTTGATGCTTTAAAATAGTTTGAATATGACTCTACACCCTTACCTCGTTTAATATATGTGGATATGCAAATTAGGCCCGGCTCCACTCAATTTCACCAGCCTGCACTACCTGCTCCACTTTTACTCAGTTAACTTAAAGGGATAGTTCACCCAAAAATGACACATTCCCCCCACCCCCTAAATTCTGTTTTATTTTTCTGGATTCCCTTTTTTCTGTTTTAATTTTTCTAGACTAGTTTTAATGATTAAATTCCATTTTATTCATCAAAACGCATGTCTAATTAACTGAAATCATGAAGCTTACAATGTTAAATAGCAGTTTACTAAACGTTTCACGTAAGTTAAATTTTTACGGCCCTATAAAATGTTTTATTAGTTTTATTTTTAACAAATTCTGTTTTCTGGATTCGATTAATAGTTTCATTAAATATTAATAATTAAAAACATCTCTAATTAAATTTATTTTAAAAAATCATTTATTATTATTTTATTTATTTATTTATTTCCAGAAATACTTTGTGTATTTATATTTTTCTGCTAAATTCTGGTAAATATTATTTAAAAAATGTTTTAATAATCATTTGTATTATTAGTAGTAGTACTACCATTATATGAAGTTATATTTCTGTCACGATTTCTTCTAGTTAAACTGAACTTTTATTTTGACAGGTTGCCGTGAAGCCATTTATGACAATTTATGAAGACATTTATGATGAGTTTTTCTCAAAAGAAACTGTAAAATGCTCATGAAGTGACTCTCAGAGCAGTTCTAGAGATTAGGTTTGTGTTCATATATTTACATATTGAGGCAAAATTAATACTCGTGGCTCCTGATGATATATTGAGGGCTTGTGAAGCAAAATGATCAAGAAACTGAACATTATTTACTTTACAGTTCAATAGTGGTAGAGTGATATTTCTTCATTGATTTGTTTATTTTTTTTAAATAATTTGATTAAATAAAAATAATAATGCATGAAAATATTAATAATAAAAAGTGCAATTTGTTCTGCCTGTTTTTAATTAAATAATGCACATACAGTTTCATGGCCGGTAAAAAAAAAAAAATGATGGCCAGTAAATTTCCTTAAGTCAGCAGCCATTGGCAGGTATGAGACTAACCGTTAGTCTAACCGGGATTTGTCACAGCGCTTACATATTGTTGCTCTTTTGTTGATTTGATTGCTTCTATTGTCCTCATTTGTAAGTAGCTTTGGATAAAAGCATCTGCTAAATGCTTAAATGTAAATGTATAGCAAAATTTCAGTTTTAGGCCCTGTGTGTAAAGTATCACCATGATCATCAAGTAAACCTCTCAGACTTGCATTATTAAATTTGGACACAATCTATTCAAGGCCTGTCCTCCTCCAGTACAATAATCTGACCTGGTTAATCCGACTCTCCCCTGGTTAGCACACAGAGATTAAATTACTGCAGTCAAAGCGACCGGGCGACCCACCGCAGCATGTATAAACACTGTGCATGCCTGTGAGGATGCACAACAAAAACATTGCATTGGTGCACCGTGAACTATACTGTATGTTACAGCAGATGACACATAGGTTCATCTTTATAGGTCCAGAAGGCATTTAATAAACTAACTAACAACCTGAGCGCAAATCACTTGTGTGGTGAATGAAAACATGCATACATGGTGATGCATGTGGCTGCACACTGCAAAGCAGTACCGTTTGCCATCAAGCACACATGCATGACCACAACCGCTGCAAAAGCACTGCATGCGGGGTAACGGAAACTGCCATGTCCCTTCATGCATTAAACAAAAACCTAAGCATGAAATAACTCCACCCAGAAAATTCAGAAAATTATTGCTTCTCTTGTGTAGATACAACAAAACCTTTATGCTTGGAAAGAAGATCTGTTGGAAAATCCAGTTTAAGGTGGCTGGTTACACTCTTAAAAATAAAGGTGCTTCAAAAGGTTCTTCAAGCGATGCCATAGAAGAACCATTTTTGGTTCCACAAAGAACCATTCAGTCAAAGGTTCTTTAAAGAACCATCTCTTTCTTACCTTTTTGTAATCTGAAGAACCTTCTTTCGCCACGAAGAACCTTTTGTGAAACAGAAAGGTTCTTCAGATGTTAAAGGTTCTTTATGGAACCATTTAGACAAAAAGGTTCTTCTATGGCATCGTGAAGCACCTTTATTTTTAAGAGTGTAGTCCAAAACAAATTTGACCACCTTAAACTGGCATTTGTTGTTGGTAAAAGATAGTCAACAGAACAAGAGAATCTATTCAGGTTACAAAGGAGCATTTACACATAATACACACAATTGTGGTAACTACACTGTAAAATGTTTATAATTATTATAATACAACATCTTTGTTTCAATTTAACTCGTCTCAATATTTTTATTTATACTCAAATGTATGGGCTTCAAATCAATTTTCTTTATTCATAATTCAATTCAAAGTGTTTTTTTTTTTACTTAGATTTGACCTAAAAAGGCAGTAGTACTGTTATTGTATTGTTATTAGCCACCACTGCCATCAAAATAAATAAACAAACAAACATACTGACTGTTTGAAAGTAGCCTAATCACAAACTATGTCTTATTACTGGTTGTGATCTTCCCACTATTGATGAGATCTGTCTCACGTTTGCAGAAAAAAAGGTTTAACAATCCTGAAAGACCCCTTACATCCAGCCAGACACCTCTTTACGACTCTTCCATCAGGCAGACGCCTTAGAGCAATTAAAACTAAGTCTACACGTTTTCTGAACGGTACTTATTGTAGGATTGTTCATGCTCTTAATTCCTCTGGTCTCTATGCATCTGCATTTCACTCCTTATAATTGATAGGACATATATGTATAGTTGGATTTATGCATGTATTTATGTCGCCTATGTATTTTAATGTATGTTGATGACCTCACCAAGCAAATTCCAAACAACTAGGGTGTTTGGCAATAAATAAATAAATACATTTGATAGAAGTCTCTGCTCAAACCAATAGCCTATCATAAACCAGTCTAAGACGATTTAGGCTATTGGTTTTAAGTGGTTTTTAATTGGCCAAATTGGTGTTCAACTGAGGGAAGCCAGCCAGTAAGTGTGCTAACACCTCTGTAAAACCTGCAAACCTGACCGTATCCATTTCAGTTGGTTTAGGATGTTTATTTCAGTAGCGGCAGTTAACTGGGTAACTAGGATGAAACTATGACAAATTCAAGTTACTCACGTCCCAAGCACCTCTTTGAATTCAAACATCTCCTTGATATCATCGACCTGCTTCTTCCACGAGCAATCCCCGCCGGCCTCTCCGTTCTCCCGAGCCATGACGGGAAAAAAATAAATAACGGGGAGGACCGTAGATGGAGAAGTGAGCGCTGGAGATCTCTGGAGATTTTCCCCGCTTTCCCACGCTGCACTTCCTGCTCTCTGCTTCTCTTTCTTCCCTCGCCTTCCCCGGTTGTACCGTTACCGAATAACCCCGGTGAGGATCTCCCTCAAGCAGCTTAAACAGTTTGGAGAGGCGCGTGTGTCACCTTTGCGGAGTCTTAATGGCACCGGTGCGGGTTTATTCCGCCCCGCGCGGCTGCTGAACGTTGATCCCGCGCGGACTGATGCGCTGCATCCGTTGTTATGGCAATGAGGAGAGAGCGTGAGTGAATGAGGAGGAGGAGGAAGATACTCTGCTCCTCACCGCGCGACCTGACAAAGAGCAAATGCATGAGAAATATGGCAAGCCGTTTTAACATTTAACTTACATGCATCCGTTTTTTTACGGGCACTTACTAGTATTTTTAATAAATACATTTAACATAATTACAAACTTTGCTACCAGCCACTTTCCCAGTTGTCATAAGTGAATATGTACTTGTTACTGGAAATAAATTCCAAACAGTATTCCAATTGCTACTGGTACCTATTGCAGTTATACTAGTATTGATTCTTTAAAGGGATAGTTCACGCAAAAATAAAAATTCTGTCATTAATCACTCACCCTCATGTCGTTCCAAACCCGTAAAACCTTTGTTCATCTTCGGAACACAAATGAAGATATTTTTGATTAAATCCGAGAGCTCTCTGTGACCCTGCATAGGCAGCAATGTAACTGAGTAGTCCCCAGGCTTAGAAACCTAGTAAGGACATCGACAAAATAGTCCACGTGACATCAGTGGTTAACTGACCATTTCTTAGTTATCGGTATTCTGTAAGCGACAAGTGACTACGTGGGGGGAAAAAAGTGTATTGTGGAAAGAGCCAAAAAATAAAATTGACTTTGTTAAATTGAGTTTAATAGAGACTAGTCACTATTGAAATAAGTACTAGTATCTAAGGAATAGTTAATGAAACAGAAAGATTTAGTAGTGGATTGTTTTCTAAGTTTTCTATTTACTAAGTGCAAATAGCCCACCTCGTTGGCAGAGGCTATTTACACTAACTCCACCCACAAATGTGTGATTAAAGTGGCGTAAATTGTTAAGCGCGTACCGTAGTCTTTCTGATGCAATCGACCAGAGTTCGAACCTGCCTTTTGACTAATTTTTTTCTCCCTTTTCAGATCTCATATCACATCGGAAAGGCATTTATTTTCAATAAAAATGAAGAAAATAATCAAAAAGTTGAAAAAGTATCGGGTAGGTGTAGGGAGGGCTTTAATGTCCCAAAGGTGCATCCATTTAATAATTTGAATTAAAATTATAATTTACACCCAATACGTTATTATTGCATACTGTTTTATAATGTACTACAATACTGAGGTGCAGATAATTGCCAATATTTGCAATAAGTATTATAAATAGCAGAAAATCCTGCTATTTTAACAGTGTAAATAGCCTCTATCGCTATTTACACTTAGTGCAAATAGCCGCTGCCTTAAAAATGTTCTATTAACAACAAATAAAAGTTAAAATGGCTTGCCATATAAGAGAGTAGAGGAAAGGAGGAGGAGAGACGTGTGGCTGTGTGAATTGTTCGCATTGCACCAAAAGCATGCTCAGGCCCAACTGAAAAAGACATGCATCTGTTCAGAACTATTTTTTAAATAAAGTCTAAATTCTCAGGGTACCCTTTAGGAAATGAAACAGTGGTCATTTCAATATAGATGCAATATGGAACACGGAAGAAGAAGATATTAATCATTGTTAATAGTTACTGCATTTTAAAGCAACAAAGTCAGTCAAAATAGTTTAGGCAAAATCAAGGTAAAATAACACTTTGGCTACATCTGGTGGTACCTATTAGCAGGCTAATGATGATAGTAGCGCACAAACCAGCTTTAGCGTTCTAAAAGGGTCTGTGTTTATCGATAAAGTGCACTTAAAATGAATGTATTGCAATTAAACAACACATCAAGACTCAACTAATACAAATTAACACAATTATACAGTCAAAATAACAACATTTACCTTGAGGTGAGCATGTGACGTAAAGATAAAGGTGGTGACTGAAGTATTTACAGGGACAACCTTTGCAATTTTTTTCCAAAAATTAGGCCCATTCACCTAATATCCCTTAAATGTCTACATCCCACATAAAACAGCAACATTTAAAGGTTAAAATGCATGTTTGAGAGCAGGTTTTAATAGTAGGACCAAAGCTTGCTTGACATGTGCCTGATGTGGATGTCAGATTGGCTGCAGGCCATTCACATTTATCAATACAGTCCGCAGCGAGGACAAAATGTGTGTGTGTGTGTGTGCGCGCATCAGTCAGCTCTGATGTACTCTACCGCTCATGAGTATTCCAGCTGCAAACCACTGCAGTTTCTCAGCTCTGGAAAATCTGTCCCTCCCTTTGCATTCTGTCTCTCTCTCTTGTCCTCTTTCTCTCTTTACCAGCTCTTAAAGTAAGCAAATCTAAGCAGTTTGATCTGACAGTCAGGCACCAACTTGAAGTGTTATAAATGTATTAGTATGTGTAATTTAACATTAATCAACAGCTATATCTATTGTATCAACTAGCATTAATGTACAGAACCTTACTGTAACGTGTTAACAAATAATGTGGATATTGTGTATTCCTGTATTTAAATCAAGACCGTAATTAACAGGGTTCCCAAACCTTTTGACCAATTAATTTCCATGTATTTTTAATGAATTTTCAGTGATTTGTGATTACTAGATAAGGATTTAAAAAATTATTTTATACAGGTTGCAATTACACAATTTCTTGATGAAAGTATTTTAAAGCTGAGCAAAAAAGCTGAATTAGAAATGTGTAGTATATGCCCTATACAAATGTATAGGCTGTTTTAAGATTTTATTAAATTCCATTCGTTTTGAAGGCCTAGGGATTAAAGTAAAATTTAAGAGAAAGTTTAAATATATTCCAATTACAGATTATGCCTGTCCACAAAGTTTTTTAGTATTTGGCGCCCCCACGTGGATGCTGAAAAATCTGTTGAAAACAAATTTTGTTTGGTCTTCTGGAGATACTACATTTTAAGATGGTATAATTTACACAGAAACATTTTTTTTTTATTAAAACTTTATTACTTCATAACATAAAAATGTCTTCTGCAACACGGAAGCTTGTATATTAGCTGAGCATTTGACGGGGGCTTTATTGGTAATCAAACATCCCATTATAAACAGCAAGGAGAGCTTTCTACAAAGTCTGGTACCTCAATTTAATTTGAACCCTGAAGTAGCCAATCAAGATCTTCCAATTCACTTGAAAAATACAGGCAGGTCTATTCAAGCAGGATTTAAAGTAAACCTACTAAGGTTCCTCCCCTTCTTCATCAGACTCCTCCTCTTCCTGCTGACCCTTCTTCTGCAATTACAGAGAAAGGAAAGAAATAAATGTGTAAAATCAGAAATACTGGCCAAAGTACAAATTCTAGTTTTAATTTGTAATATTTAAAGGAATAGTTCACCTAAAAATGAAAATCAATCAAAACAGATTTAGAGAAATGTAGCATTACATCACTTGCTCACCAATGGATGGTCTGCAGTGAATGGGTGCCGTCAGAATCAGAGTCCAAACAGCTGATAAAAACATCACAATAATCCACAAGTAATCCACACCACTCCAGTCTATCAGTTAACATCTTGTGAAGTGAAAAGCTTCGTGTTTGTAAGAAACAAATCTAGGGCTGCAGGATAAATCGCATGCGATGTTTAACGCGCCTCTTATCAGTAAAGCCGGTTCTGTAATCAGCGGTAAATCTCCATCACGTGCATGCTTTCACATTGAGCAGCATTAACTACACAGAGCCGTTGTTCACTGACGAGCTGCGCAAAACCACGTTCATATTCGCGCGATTTTTTTTGCTCAGCTCGTCAGTGATTTATCGTGCAGCCCTAAACAAATCCATCATTAAGATGTTTTAACTTTAGACCATCGTTGATCTGTACATATTTCTTTCCTGATTTAGACGAGATATCTTTCTTTACTGGAGAAAGCAATGTTATGGATAGAGGACTTGTGATGTTTTTATCAGCTGTTTGGACTCTCATTCTGACGGCACCCATTCACTGCAGAGGATCTATTGGTGAGCAAGTGATGTAATGCTACATTTCTCCAAATCTGTTCAAGTTAAGAAAGACTCTTCTATATCCTGGAAGGTCTGACTGGTGAGTACATTTTCAGCCAATTTTCATTTTTGGATGAACTATTCCTTTAAGTGACTCACTTGGGTTATTGAATGCTGAACTACTGTATGTGTGAAAATATTCATAGTTTACATTTTAAAACAGGACTGACAACTGCATTCTGCTTTTTCTACAGAGGTCCTTGTCTCTGTTGTTCTCATCCCCATCTCACTCACCAGCTTAAGAAAATCAATGAGCTTATAGGCATCTTCCCCTGTGGTCAGGTCCAGGAAGTCTCGTGGGATTCTGTAGGACAGACATGGGCTGGGCTGCACCGTGACTTCACTGGTGGTGTAACGGAATGCAGGTCCGTCCTAATAAAATAAAAGATGCGTGGCATTAATATAGCAGCACATTTGACTTTTAAAATGCAGGCAGTGCAATACATTTGAACAGGGTTTGATGTAAAATGTGTATCATTTTCAAGTAAGAACTACCTGTGGTGTTGCGTCTTCTTGCGTTTGACTGGCTGTGAGATATTTGCCAAATGTTAGCTCCTCCCACGTGAAAAGCAAAGAGTCTGTGACTTCACCAAACGGGTTGAAGTCAATCAACCACACACGCCCCTTTAAAAAGACAAACTTGCAATTATTTTTATACTGGTTAAAGATTCAACTCAAACCTGTTTACAACAACAGGCTTGCACTGGAGATACATTTAGTACCTATATTTTAGTACCTATATTTAGTGACATTTAAATGTGAAATTTGCATTCATAAAAACGTACTGAGCTATCTCTGTAAACGTCCAGGACGACTAAAAAGAACAAAGAAAGAACATTATTAACGCACATGTGTAATTTAATATTTTCTGCTCTTCACATTGATGCACTTACAGTCCTCGTCTGGGAATTGGTATTGGATGTGATCTCTGAAGAATTCCAGTATAGAGGAGGAGATGCTGGCCTCTTGTTTGGCGATGTGCTGGTAATGTTGTGTGTAATCTCTCTGACTGATTGCTAAAAAACAGACTTGATCTCAGTGTGTAGAAAGAAACTGTTTTTAAATGTTATACTTCCATGGCATTACATATATAATACAATACAATATTCATTTATTCACAAATCATGTTAAAAAATGCACAATTGTCATACCAATTACTTTGTTTTCTTTCACAAAGCAGCGGAATTCTGCTCCTGGAATAAGCTCGCTCCATTTTCTCAACACCAACTGCACAAAATGAGTCCCACAGAGTAACAACATATGTAATAGTATTTTTTTTTATTAATTTGGGAGATATTTAAGAGTTATTCATTGGGTTTCATTATGACATAATACAATATAATATACAGGTGCATCTCAATAAATTAGAATGTCGTGGAAAAGTTCATTTATTTCAGTAATTCAACTCAAATTGTGAAACTCGTGTATTAAATAAATTCAATGCACTCAGACTGAAGTAGTTTAAGTCTTTGGTTCTTTTAATTGTGATGATTTTGGCTCACATTTAACAAAAACCCACCAATTCACTATCTCAACAAATTAGAATACTTCATAAGACCAATAAAAAAAACATTTTAGTGAATTGTTGGCCTTCTGGAAAGTATGTTCATTTACTGTACATGTACTCAATACTTGGTAGGGGCTCCTTTTGCTTTAATTACTGCCTCAATTCGGCGTGGCACGGAGGTGATCAGTTTGTGGCACTGCTGAGGTGGTATGGAAGCCCAGGTTTCTTTGACAGTGGCCTTCAGCTCATCTGCTATGTAGGGAAAGTAATAGATACATTTTTGACAAGAGTGCACCTCAAAAATCTACATCATAACAGGAGTTCTGACCTTTGTCAAAAAAAAGTCTTCTTTGTTGCCTATCAATTGAAAACTTTAAATCTCAAAATTCATCCTTTGAAACCCATTTTAAAATCAAACATTGCATTACCATTAAAATGGTACGTCAATATCATGTTACAAAATGTTTTCGTTCATGAATTATAAAAATTTAAGTTTGGATCGTGCACTTTCACGTCTATGTTCAAAAATGTAAGTGACAGTTAAGGGGTTAAATAAGTCTCTTATGCTCTTTTGCATTTATTTGAAAAAATACAGCAAAACTATTAAAACTATAAAAAATATTGTGAAATATAAAAATTTTAAATAACTTTTCTATTTATATACATTTTAAAATGCAATTTCAGCAGTTATTACTTCAGTGTCACATGATCATTTATAAATCATTCTATGCTGATTTGCTGCTCAGGAAAGAATTATTATCAATGTTGAAAACCGTTTTGCTGCTTAATATTTTTAGTGGTAATTGTAAATGAAAAAAATACATTTTTTCAGGATTCTCCGAAAGTTCAAAAGAACAGCACTTTTGTTTGGTAATATATTATATAATATTGTATTATATTGTGGTTATATTATCTGGAGTAGATTTAGCTGTTTTATTGTGATTCTGTACCTCATAGTTTATGGTTGGGTCTGGAGAATCATCACTACAGTGGAGGAATCTGCCAAAGGAGGTACAAAATTATTACTTCAACCAACTTGCTTTCTTGAATTTCTTAAGAACCCCCCCCCCCCCCCCATCACATAGAGCATGATGGGAACTGAGAATATCAGCATTTGTGCGGGATACGTACGACTGTGTGAGGTCATGCGTTATAAAATCTGAACTTTTGAAAAGGAGGAAGATGTCGCTTAGACTCTGACACTGTAAAGAACTGTTCAGAGCAATCCAGTTAGCATCCTGGGGAGGAACACAAAGATGAAGGATATTGTGAGTATTATATATTCATGTGTATGAATTACGCTTGTAAGTAAAATCTTCTCACCCGAGGGGCGCTCCAGTTCAGTTTCGGGAAGACGCACCCACCTAGAACGTTTATTGCCTCTTGCACCTTTATGTTGAACTCTGGGAATTCTGGGGCCTGAAGAAGATTCACACAATTTAGTACCTGCACAAGTGTATGACAGCAGCTGTGCTTTGATTGGCTGAGAGGAATAAGATGCACCGTAACAGCTGTGGTAGTTTCATCATCAGTCCACTGGAAACCAAAAGCATGAGATCAGGAAAGTAGTCGAGTTGAGTTTTAAGAGATATCAATGTATTTCACACAACCACGCACATACCTGAACGTCCTCCTCGTCCGAGTCACTGTTATTGATCTGTGTTTGCGAATTGATGTGCTCACTATAAACAGAAACAATCAGATATGTATTCAATAACCAGGCAACAACAGAAAGAATTAGAATTTATTCAATACCAAACTTTTACCAAAATCTCACCTGCCAGAAACCACAAGTGTCCCGTCATCTAATAAATAATCGATTACATTTTGAGGTATAGGCAGAATCAAGCTAGTAAAAGAGAAGATAACCATACTTAATTACAACAGCACTGACATAACTATATTAACAGCACAGAGAACTAAATAATCTCAAAATATTTTTCCTATATCGTCCTATATATAATGTACTTTAACAATGCCTATAATCTCTGAGATTATATAGTAAGAAAAAAAATAGTAGTGATGTAATCATAATATAATGGCATTGCTAACGCACGAGTTTTCCCCGATCATTATATATTATCAGAGTGTGCAGATAACTCTCTTACCTCTTAATAGTGTGTTTCTTGAATAAAGGATACCAAACAGAAAACTGACAGTTTACAACCTGCTCTTTCTTCATGCTGCCTAAAACACTGATAATCTGCGCAACCTCAAAAACATCCCGGCATAACTGTAGTACCAATAACTACAGTTCCGGTTTATAATGCATTTCTTTGTTTTGAAATCAATCCGTATTTTAATACTTCAAGGGAAGTTTTATATTAGTCCGTTATATTAGTTTTTCTTCAATATCAGTGGCCAGATTGACAATATAACGTATACAACGATAACCCGATCCACTGCACAAAAAGGGGAGGAACTGTTTTAGCGGCACACAAGTAGGCAGATACTTACTGAACATGTGACTACTTGAAAGAAAACTAACTCAAATAGATCGATCACTTGAGACTTTTTTGACATACTTTACGATTTGTCAGGTACGTTCTCCACTGATTGAAACGACTTGGAATGACCCCCCGTTACTTTTTCTGTATTAGCTAGCCTAGCTTAAATAGACTGTGGTCATTATGAAAACATCACGCGCCCTGTAACTTCATTTCTGTTGTACATGCAGATTACTGCAGCTGTTCCAGAGCTTAAACATCACTGATCGCCTGCACAACATGAGCTCTCCGAAGAAAGCGACTGCTGAACCTCATGTCATCAAAGAGGAGGTAAGAATCTGTCTTAAAGTGATAGTTCATAAATACTGTCATCCTTTCCTCGCCCTCATGTTGATCAAACCTGTGAGTTTCTTGCTATAGTGCACTTTTCCATGAAGTGAATGATGCCTGAGACTGTCAAAATGCCATTGCGTTGCTTGTTTTTCATAGAGAAAAATACAATCATATGCAAAAGGGACAACATGAAGGTTCATTTCCCTGCAAACTGTCCCTTTGAAGTAATGTAATTCTCATGTGTTGTGCTTAAAGTACAAACTTATGAAGTGTAAACGTATGAATAATGTGTTTTCAGCTGATAGCCAGTGGAAAATGGGTGAAGCTTGAGAAGACTACATATGTGGATCCATCTGGAAGCACCAGGTATTGATCTGTGAATGATGTGTGACCTTTGACCTCTGGACTGAGTGGACATGATACCACTGATTGGAAGGATCTTGTTTATTGTTGCTTCCTGCCAATCAACCTAAAACATTGTTTGTGTGATTAGTTATTAAAATCTTCAGGAAACGATCTGAAACTTTCTCTCCTCAGAACATGGGAAACAGCAAAGAGAACAACCCGAGTCGCTAACAGCGCAGCCGATGGTGTGTACAGTCTCGTGCACTCTTATTTGAACCAATTTTTGTGCTTTAATGCTCTGTAATCATTCATATGTTTGGATTCATTTTAAGCTGTAGCAATCATAGCCCTTCTGAAGAGGACTCTTCATAAAGACTGTGTTGTAATGGTGAAGCAGTTTCGTCCACCCATGGGATGCAACACACTGGAGTTTCCTGCAGGTCTGCGTCTGATGATGAAATAACATAATATATACCAGCGGTGGCGAACTCCGGTCCTGGAGAGCCGCAGCCCTGCAGAGTTCTGCTCTAACCCTAATTAAAACTCACCTGCCTGTAGCTTCCTAATAACCGTTCGGACCTTGATTAGCTTGTTCAGGTGTGTTTGATTAGGGTTGAAGCAAAACTCTGCAGGGCTGCGGCTCGCCAGGACCGACGTTCGCCACCCCTGATATATACCATATAATAGCATTGTCCTCTGCATCTTGAAAATAGCACAGCCCTGCATCTTTATTTATAAGTTAAAAAAAGTCGCTAAAATCTTTCATCACGTACAGTTTTTCACCAAATAAGAATGAAGAGAGTGAAAAGTGGAAATCAAGATTAGGCATAAAATAATGTCTTCAGAATCATTCATACATTTGATAATCAACTGAGAATGAAAGAAACTGTAATCTGGCTCAGAGGAAGATGGGAATCATATCTTTGTGCCAGTTTTTCTGGTGATTAAGGGATAATATGAAACTACTTCTTGTAAATGGTTGTCAAAAGTAAAAATGCTACGAAATGCATCATATTTTGTGAGAAAGTGTGACGTGCTTGAGCAAAACAGACACTATTTTTTAAATCAGCACCCCAAAATTAGTAAGAAACAGGTTGCAAATATGATGCAGTGTACTGTATTTATTGATCATTCTCTGTGCATGAATATTTCAGGTCTGATAGATGACAACGAGACCATTGAAACTGCTGCTTTGAGAGAACTAAAGGAGGAAACGGGTTACAAAGGGGAGGTGGTGGGCGTCACTCCAGGTACAGCTGCTGTAATGTTTGTGGATACCTGACAAAATGTAAATACATTTTAATATTTTAATGTCTCATTCCCATGTCTTTTAGTCACATGTTTAGACCCGGGCTTGTCTAACTGCACCACACAGATGGTGATGGTACATATCAATGGAGATGACCTTGAAAATATAAACCCCACTCAGCAGCTGGGTGAGTGAAGAAGCATCAGGAAGCACCTTATTATTATTTTATCACAGAATAATGAAGAAGTCCATATTGTGTTTTAAATCAATGCTAAGCAAAACTTTATTTTTCTTTTGTCTCCATTGTGCATGTATAGGTGACGGAGGTATGTATTTGTTTTCAAAAAGTCACCATTGTTCTTCTTTTTCCTAAAAGTATATTAATGTTTGTCTCTTAGAATTTGTGGAGGTTATTCTTCTACCTCTGGATGAGTTTCAGCAAAAAATTGATGGTGGGTGATCTTTTTGCTGAATTCTGTCTAACTTTTAGTATGATTTCTATTCAGTATGTTAGGTTTTGCTTTGATGTTCCTTCTTGTTATTTTTATAGAGCTACTGCAGAAAGAGAAAATAGTGGTGGACTCTAAGGTGTATATTTATGCTATGGGAATGTCGCAGGCCTTCTTTAAACCCAGAGAGTTACCTGTGCTGAAGCAGTGAGATGCACAAATCTGTCACCTGCAATACACTAAAGACAGACTGTCGTGAGCTCATCAGAGTGATGAAATCTACCAGTGCTTGACCATGGCCTTACTGTTTTACAGCGGTTGCCTGAACATTCCTAATAAACGAACAGTACTTAATTAAGAGGTATTCAGTGTTTGCACAGTTTTACAATTCATTATTAAATATATAGGAACCAAACTAAAAGTGTAGGTCTATTCTGTGAGTGGCCTTCTTTAAACCCAGAGAGTTACCTGTGCTGAAGCAGTGAGATGCACAAATCTGTCACCTGCAATACACTAAAGACAGACTGTCGTGAGCTCATCAGAGTGATGAAATCTACCAGTGCTTGACCATGGCCTTACTGTTTTACAGCGGTTGCCTGAACATTCCTAATAAACGAACAGTACTTAATTAAGAGGTATTCAGTGTTTGCACAGTTTTACAATTCATTATTAAATATATAGGAGCTTACCAAACTAAAAGTGTAGGTCTATTCTGTGAATTGTTTGAGTATGTCCTGTCTGATGTTGGCCTGTAATAACAAAAGAAATCCATAAAAACGATAATAAAATAATTTATAGGTCATACAGTAAGTGTCACAAAAAGACACTATAGGAAAGGTACTTTGTATTATGATCAGAACTTGGAGTAAATCTTGTAAAACTGACTCAAAAGGGTATTTTTGATGTACTGTATCTATGTATTCACATACGGTAAGCAGCAGATTATTATATATTGGGTCTACAGGACTGCAATACGCAGGTCATTCTAAAAGTGTACAGTTTATGTTGGAGGATGTATATACAATGCTGTGTACCTGGATAACTATTAATTTTATCTAATAAATTTGACCGTTTAAATTTTTGCATTTGTTTGTGGTTCTAACTTGTTATTGTTCCTATAGATCTTTATTTGTGCACATATTTAATAAGAGTGTAATCCAAATAAATTGCCAAACACAACTCTAGATTTCTTTCTTGGGTTTATTGGTCGAATGCACATCTTAAAACTTGGCGCCGAGTTCTTGTATATTTCGATACATTTATAGGCTAATTTATATTTAATGTAATGAATAAAAAAATCAACTCAATATAGTTTAAAATTATACACGTATAAACGGTTAACAATTAATTCTAAACATTTAATGTATTTATATTTTTGTAGACTTTATAGTAGCTTACAGTAACAAATAATTTGATTCATTATTTTAGATCGAAATTTCACTCTCAAGTCTATCGAAGCAAAATAAAAATTACCCTTTGAATCTTTTCTCAAGAACACACAATAATATTTTTGAAAGGTTTTTTGCGATGGACCAGACCAGAACATTTAATAAAAGAGTGAAAGATTTTATTTTTTTCCTACAACTGTACAAGCTTTTTCTTAAATATTATTATTTTGTTATGGACAGGCACGAAGTTCGGCCGGAAAAGTGACGTAGTTCCGGGGTCCTGAATATTAAACATTTTTCGCGCCAACATTGAAACAAGAGCTTGTACGTCTGATCCAGCACAGAGATATCTAATCGCTTTCATTTCAAAACATAGCTAATAAAAGCGATCGAAATAAAAATGACAGGTAAGCTCAGCAGAATACCAGTACAAACGCTAGGCTAGTTTATTACTCTGTTGGATAAAGCATAGTTAAGTTAGATGAGAAATGTAAGTTCCTACAGTTCCTGGTGAAGCAAGACGTTTAAATCTCTGTTACCTAGCAAAATATCTTTGTCTGATTTAGCCGTATCACTAAATACTACATAATGTATATCATGATATAATAAGTTGAATATATTGCTTGGTTTGTCTAGTGCTGATTTCGTTGTAAACAAGTTCTTTTGTATGCTGTTGTTGCTTATTTGCCACACAGTTTTGACTATATTTATCTGATCATATATTTTATAGTGTGTAGCATAGTCCACGACAGTCAACATTATACTGATATATGTAATCAATGTGCATTATACTGTTCTATATGTATTTATATGGTATATTATATTTGATTCTTACTAAATGTTATATGTTGTAAACTTGCTGAAAGTGAAGTATATATTATACTGTAAGAGTATATATCTATGAGCATATAATGTTATGCTATGCAGCTTTTGTAACATTTAGTAATACTGTACTATGGAATTGGGTTAAATGAATCTGCGTGCATGTCTCTAGCATCAGAGGAGGAGAATCTGGACATGTTGCTGTCTTTATTTGCGGAGAGTGAGAGCCAGGAACAGGAGACTCCCGCCGCTGGAGAGGGCAGTGACAATCTAGATGACCTCTTTGATGAGGATGAGGACGGTGATCCCTATATTGAGCCGGAAGAGGAAGATGACGTGGCACCTGGGAAATCCAGCTCAGCTGAAGGGGACAGTGACTTAAATAAGTCAAAGGAAGATCTGGAGGGTAAAGCTCTGTAGTTATTCTAGGCTATATGTGCATATAAATGTGCATGTATTGTGTGCTGATCATGAGTGTATTTGTCTTCCAGCTGAGCTGAAATTAATGCAGCAGAAGATGCAAAAACTACAGCAGCAGCTGGAGGCCTCACAGAAAACCACACAGCCTGAAAACAAACCCTCCGTCCGGAGACAGACCAGCACTAAATCCTTAACACCACCTCAGGGGGTTTCGAAAACTCCCCCATTAACACGACAGGACAGCGATGGCTCTCCTCCATCAGATGTCACGGCAAAGCTGAAAAACAAGCAGAGGACGGCCCACCAATCCAAAGCAGGTGCATGCTGGAGTGATTCTTTTTGCTTTCAAAAATAGAAATGTATGAAAATCATATGAACTTTTAATAAAAACTTTTTTTGGGTAAACAAGCCGCCTCAGAAAAGCAGACTCCTATTGGCCAGAGTATGAACAACTGCCAGTCTCAGCCAATAAGTGACAGTGCAAAAGTAAACAGCACTTTAAAGTCACCGCCCCCTCTCAAGACTCCTCCCACTGTGCGTCAGGCTACGCCTCGTTCATCTGTCAGTCAAGAGGTTGCTGTGGAGAAGTTCTCAGGCCTTAGACTTAGGTCAGTGGGCTTGTTGAAATGATTAATATTCCTCTAATTGGTTTAATTGTATGGACAATAAATGTCAATTTTGAAGTTTAGTTATTCTAATATGCTGATTTGGTGCTCAAGAAACATTTCTCATTATTATCGTTTTTGCTGCTTAATCTTATTTGCTGCTTAAGCTATCCTTTTGAACTTTTGATTGTTGATTTGATTTGATTTGAAGATTGATTTCTTAAGGATCATATGACACTGAAGACTGGAGTAATGATGCTGAAAATTCAGCTTTGACATCACAGAATTAATTATTTTAAAATATATTAAAATAGTTGTAATAAAATTGCACAATATTACTGTTTTTACATCAAATAAATGCAGGCATGGTGAGCATAAGAGACTTCTTTCAAAAACATAAAAAAAAAAAAAATCATAATTATTCCAGACATTTGACCAGGAGTGTTGATATGTATTTGAGATTTATTTCTCTTACTTTAAAAAAAAAAACCCAGTGTTATATTTCCCTGTAGGAATCCACGTCTGTCTTCCATAGACATTGAACTTTTGATTGTTGATTTGATTTGATTTGAAGATTGATTTCTTAAGAATCATATGACACTGAAGACTGGAGTAATGATGCTGAAAATTCAGCTTTGACATCACAGAATTAATTATTTTAAAATATATTAAAATAGTTGTAATAAAATTGCACAATATTACTGTTTTTACATCAAATAAATGCAGGCATGGTGAGCATAAGAGACTTCTTTCAAAAACATTAAAAAAAAAAAAAATCATAATTATTCCAGACATTTGACCAGGAGTGTTAATATGTATTTGAGATTTATTTCTCTTACTTTAAAAAAAAACCCCAGTGTTATATTTCCCTGTAGGAATCCACGTCTGTCTTCCATAGACATTGAGCAAAAAATGGCCAGCCGCAGACTGATCAAGCTCTCTCAGTTGCCTGACCGACTGGCCAGGGACAGTTTAGAGGACAGTGACTGGGTCACTTTCGCAGTGGTGATAAATAAAATCACCCCACAGAGCAAAAACAATGTAAGGGACCATCATTTCCGAGATCTGATATTCTGTATATTTAAATATTGTATATTCATCTGCATGCTTGTTCTTTTTTTGTAGGGGAAAACCTTCAGCATTTGGAAGCTGAATGATCTTCATAATCTGGACGTGAATGTGTCTCTCTTCCTGTTTGGGTCTGTTCACACGGATCTGTGGAAGACTGACACTGGGACAGTGATTGGCATCCTCAATCCCAATCCAATGAAGAACAAGGATGGTTCCAATGAGGTTTGTCTCATAAAACCTCTCAATATCAAATGCTTTATCTTTAAAAACAATAAGAATTAAAAATGTACTATTTGCATCCTTAATTATTGATTGACTGGAACCAAAATACTATTTAATCTAATGTTACAATGTTAACTTGATTTATTTTTTAAAACATTACGTCAAAATTCACCCTCTTTACTTTTGTTAAATTCCTTATCTTACTGTGAAAGATTCAGCTGTGCACCTTATTCCACAGAAAAACATTTTACCTGAATTGTTCATTAAAATATAATATATTTTTCTACCTCTGATATCTTTCCTTTTTTCGGCTTATGTCAGCAAGCCTTATTTAATGTATTACCTCTCCAACAACTGTCTAGAGACCTTTATACTGTAATATAAAGCAAGAATACCAGTGTTGTTATAGCAAATTATTAAAAATATTTTTTGGTAATTAAAATAAATAATAAAAATATTAAAGACCGTTTTTGGAATAAATCAAAGTTGGCATACTAAAATGACTACAATTAAAATAAATTAAATTCAATAAATATAAATATCCTTAAAAGCTCATTAAAATGGAAAAAAGTACATGACAAAATTTAAAACATTTAATGAAAATATAAAAGTAAAAGGTGTTTCCAAATGTTAATAAATACAATTATAAAAATATAAATAATACTGAAGTAGCAGTATATAAATAAAATAAAAAATGATCGTACATAACCCCTTTTTAAATCCAAATGATAGAAGTAAAACAGGTTGAGAACAACATTTCCTGTTCATGTCATGTTTCTCCAGCTCTGCCTGACCGTGGATCACCCACAGAAGGTCCTTATAATGGGAGAAGCCATGGACTTCGGCACTTGCAAGGCTAAAAAGAAGAACGGAGACACTTGCACTCAGCTAGTCAACCTGGTGAGTCTCCAAACATCATGCTTTACTGCAGTAATTCACAGTCAGCCAATTCATTATTACTGTTTGCTTGAACAGTATGAATGCCAGTACTGCCAGTATCACGTTAAAGCCCAGTACAAGAAAATGAGCTCGAAGAGATCGGAGCTTCAGTCCAGCTTCACAGGCTCCGCCCCTGGCAAAGGAAGGGGACGGGGCAGTTTGAGGGAGCGCCTGTGCCAATCTGATTTCCACTATGGGGGCATGTCCTCGCGTGCCTGTGCGCCCTCAATGTGAGTTCACTGCCTCTTTTTATGACCGTCGCCTCCCTTTAAATCCACCCAAAACCTTCAATTATTGCATGAATCTTTTATTTCGACAGGTCTGCCCCACAGCCAAAGAAACAACCCACTATACAGTCTGTTTTGGCTTCCATCCCAACTAAGAAACTTGGTAAACTTGTTTAGTACTTTTTTTTCCCCAAATGTGCTGGTGTTCATGTTGTCTAATCAAGCCCTACTTCATGTAGTTCTGAATTCAGGTGAGGTGTCAGGCTGTTCAGATGACTTCAAAGGCCTGATGTCTATGCCGACGCCTGGAGCGCTTCATATTAAGAAACACTTAGGACAAGCCAAGAATACAGGTCATTTTAAAGGGATAATTCATCCCAAAAATTGACTTTACTCACCCTTATGTTGTTCCAAACCTGTAAGATAACTTCAAATCTCATTTACGCTTGTGCATATTCAAACCATAGGCCATCATGCTAGATTTGACATCAAACACTTGTTGGTTTTCATGCGTTTTATGTCATTTGAGCGCTACTGGTTGCTCTCCTATTAACTATGAATGTTCTCTGATGCTGCAGTACTGTTTTGGGCCAGCAGATGTCTGCCAAATGCCGCCCCACAATTTTCATCCAAAGAAATAAACCAAAAGCAAGCACATTTGTCACTGGAATATAAGCAGAGTTTCTGTGGATCTATGAGTTATACAAATTAAGGCCTAAAAAGGTACTAAATCAGAGCTGAAAGTCTTTGTAAAGTCATTGCATTAAAGATAGATATGTATAAAAACCGGTTTTCCCTTTGAAAAAAGTAGATTGTTTTAGAAAACAAAACGAGACTTCCTATTTTTTTTATCTTTGTCATTTTGCTTTTCAAGCAAATGTATCTTTATTTAAAAAATCTTCAGACATTTCCGCTGGAAACCAAGACAAGAGTTTTCTGCATGAACTCTCCGTTGTACCTTCATAAAACCAAGAGAAAGCCCCTGTGTATGGCCTCAGTGCATACTAATAACCATGCCAATTTAATCTCCAACTTGCCTTTATTTAATTTAGCTGTTGCAGGATCTTCAGTTCAGTCTATATCTGCGGCTGACCTTCTCAAGCAGCAGAAAGAAGAGCATCAGCAGAGAATGTTGGCTCGAAAGAAGAGAGCGGAAGAGATTCAGAAGAGGCGAGAGGCGTTTGTTTTAATTAATGTTGCTGTAACTACTGATTGTATTTGTTTTGCATTACATTTGGAAGCTGATACATTGTTTAGTGTTTCAGTATTGAGTTTTTGGAGTGATTTATAGGCTCTAACATCTGTAAACTGTAAATCCTTTTTGCTTATGATCAAGAAGACCTTTATCCTGTCCCTGTAGTATATGTACTATAAATATGAGCTCTTCTCTACCCAGGGTGCTCCAGAGTAGTGCTCCCTCCCGGCCGAATGCAAGCAGGGGTCCCTTGCTCTCCCCGAAAGTTGCCTCGGAGGTTCCGAAGGGGTCGCCTGGCCTCACATCCCGTCTCTCAGGCCCTCCTGTGCCCACACTGGGCCGTGGCTTTCCAGAAGGAGAGGACATCCTCCTTGATCTGTCTCCACCTTCATCAAAGAGCCTCTCAGCCGCAAAGGTACTGTTTCGGGAAAGTGCTCCATCATTTGTTTAAGAATATTTTCAATTCCGGAACATTTTGTTGTAGTGTTTTTTTTGTTTGTTTGTTTGTTTGTTTGTTTTTCTAACTGGAATTTTATGTAAAGTAAAAATGTTACTAAAAAAAAAAGTAAAAACATTTGATTAACTTCAAACTATTTACTAAATTAAAAACAACTTAAATTAAATAGTTTTAAATTAATTAAACATTAAAAGTTTTTAATGTCTTATATTAAGTTTTTAAATAAATTCAAAATTAAAGACATTTGTACTTTAAAAAAATCATGAATAATTAATTTTGTTATTTAAACTAAATATTTTTACATCAAAAATTACACTTAAGAATAAACTATGCTGCAATACATCTTTTAATTTTTTTCTTAAATACAAAAGCTGTCACTAGAGTTGTTAGTTTGTGTTTTTATACTTTATTATAATTTTCCACGGACCCCCAGCAATACCTTGCAGCCCCCTCTGGTCCCATAGTTTGAAAACCCTCGATCTAATTGATGCTTTCAGGAAGAATTCTAGCACAAACATTGAATTTGTTTATCATATTGTTTATTTATAATATTGTTTATTGCTTAGTTGGCGGCAGTGAGGAAACTCCAAGCTAAAGGCTCAGTCATGGTTAAAGGCGACCCGAATGCTGTAAAACGCAAGCGAGCCAACAGCGATGACATTGCAGATCGAGTAGAGCGAAATCTCTCCACACCTAAAGGTATAGATATTCATATCAGTGTTATGATTCACTGTTTGCTTGTTTGTTTTTCTCTGTGGCACTTATTCTGCTAAAAACCCATCTGCAGTGTCCGATGAAAATTCAACTGGTGAGGAGGAGGAGCCAGCTCAGAAAAAGAGGCGGGAACAGCTAGAGTACATCCAATCGGAGGAGTTTCAGCGCATCCTCAACGCCAAGTCCTCAAACTCGTGGATGATGGGAGAGGTGTGTGTTTTGGCTGAACATTAGTGCATGTGTGTTGATGTTACAGTGGATGGGCGGAGCTTGCTGTTGTTTTGAAAGCGTTCGGCGTGATCTGTCCAGATGGATTTATTTGATTTGGATTCTGTAGTGTTTCTTTTGCCACATGCGATATAAAATAGTGGAAGCCATGTCCCATTGGCGTGTGCTTGCATGTTTGACAAAATATCTTGCATCTAGATTGAGGAGCGGGCCATGCAGGAGTATTTTGAGCCGCTGGTGCAAAAAGAGAAGATGGAGGAGAAGATGAAGAGCATCAGGGAGATGAAGTGTCGAGCCGTCACCTGCAAAACTGTAAGTCAACAAATTTGCAACTAAAGAGATGCAGCATCTGTCCTTTATGCTGAGTGATCCAGTGCAAAACATGGGTCAGAAAAAGCACTGGATGCATTTTGAATTTCAAGTGGTCCACTTGAAAATCCCTACAGTGTCTCTCATTCAAGTCCTCATGAAAACGGAACGATTTCTCCTGCATCATTAGTAGCTAATCAGTATTTATTCACAGCAAGTCATAATGACGAACCAATTTTAAACATGATTTGTGTAATACTTCAATAAATGTTGTTCAAGAGGAACGAAAGGCAAACAAACCTCTCTAGATGCTAATTAGACAATTATGAGGTTTCGAACTGATTACACCTGTAAATCTCGGCCTGTTTATGCGGTTTATTTCATGAGCCCCTTTTGCCCGCAGTGTAAATACACCCACTTTAAACCAGCGGACCGCTGTGTGGAAGAGAAACACGACTACCATTGGCATGACGCCGTCAAACGCTTCTTTAAATGCCCCTGCGGTCAGAGAAAGATCTGCCTGGCACGGATGCCACATGGAGCCTGCAGGTGAGGGGATGCAGCAGTACCTTTATTATTTGTTACATTTTATAAAAGACGTTTGATAACATACTGGCAGTTTAATACTTAACTGTTAGATTAATATTTGTTATTGCATGTTGTAATAACATAAATTTCACTTTCCATTTTAGCCATTGTGGACTTTTTAAGTGGGAGAGAGATGGCATGTTAAAGGTACAGTTTCAAATTTTTATTTTTTTTTACTGTTTTTGTTTTTATTTATTTAATTGTGACTCCTTGATTCTGATGTTGACAAGTTACAAGTGAATTAATTAAATGTTCTAAAACTCCACAGCTTTGCTGTATTATTTTAGTGTTATAGTACATTAATATTTTGAGTTGGCCTTTATTGTTTTTTTTTAGTTTGATTTTGTGCTTTTGTCCATTTCTTTAATATATTTTTATTCAGTTTTAGCTGGAGTAGTACTTATTTCAGTCTTTTTAGAGCTGCTTTACAGCACAATTGATTTGTTTGCGTCTTTGAATCATTATTTTCTTGTTTATCCCTATAAAGCTGCTTTTAAACAATCTTTATTATATAAATAAAGGTAAGGTGACTTGACTTGAGTTTGTTGCAATTACAGGGAAAGTTCACCCAAAAATGAAAATTCGTTGTGGTTCCACACACTGCAGATATGAAGTAGTTCCAGGCTTGTTGAACATGACCAAGTTGAATATCACTTTGCCGCATTGTCCGAATTGTTACAAAGTTTCATATATATACATATATATATATATATATATATATATATATATATATATATATATATATATATACACACATACACACACACACACAGGCAAAATATACACTCCACTTCCCAGTGTGGCTGCATTATTTTATCATTTTTTTCCATTACATTTTTTTGTTAATTATGTCATCAGTAATTCAAGAATTTATTAGTGTATTTCAAATGTATTTATTACTATTTGTATTATGTCTTTCAATGGCATAATTATACGAGCGTGTATTTGGTAACTAGCTCCAGTTTTGACCTGTCTCATTTTCACAGGAGAAAAAGGGACCCAAAATAGGAGGGGAGCTACTGTTGCCACGCGGAGAGGAACAGCCCAAATTCCTCAACAGTTTAAAGTAGAGTCAGCTGTCCCGTGTGTGGCCTGAGCCCAGTCTCACTCAGAAGAGGAGGCTTCTGTGTCTTCATAATCAGAAAGTGAGAGTGAAGGGGCATCGGCATTACATTTGTGTTGGTCAATCTGTTTTTAGTACCTTAATGTTTGCCTGTTGTCTATATATGTTGTTTTAAGATAAACTATCAAGCCTTTTTAAATGTAAATATTCTTATGTTCTGTTATTATTTTAATTGTGAACTTTTATATCAACCATGTCAAGCACACCTGAATTAAACAATACTGAGTGAGCTTGCAATGTTTTATAGACTTTCTGTGAACGTTCTCCTATTGATTTGACTGGAGGGACTGGCACACATGCTAAATCTTGTCCGTCTCCCAGCACGCAGTGATATTTTAAACTTTATTACCCCTGTGTGCTCTTCTTTAAGCAGTAGGAGTGGCAGGAAGTCGTTCTCCTGTCAGTCAGGTGCATGTGAGAGTCGGTTAGTGGCACCGAGGCTCAGGAAGGTCGATAAATCTTTCTTTCCACTTGTTTCTTTCTCCCTCATTTTCCCATCTGTCTAAGCTCTCAGCACAGGAATGTCACTCCATTGCCAGCAAATACTGCCTTGGAATTATTATCCCGTCTGTAAGGCTCACAAACCTGGGCTTTTTTACTATATATATATATATATATATATATATATATATATATACACACAC